TATATATATATATATATATGTGGGTTGTGACGTGGGTTTGGGAGGTTGTGCAGTAAGCTTACCTGCAGACTTCAGGCTGAGGTTTTCTTTGATCTCTTCGTGGTCACATGGGTGTGTGAAGTCAAAGATGCTGTGACCTGTGAGTTCCACCTGATAGAAAAACATAAGAAAATGTGTTCAAATTTATCCAGTCTATAAAACTGTTCAATATAAGCACATTAACCAAATTATTTTCACCAAAGCAAAAACCATCAGATTCTGGGTAATCACAGACTTTGCTTCCTTTCTTTGGAGATTCATTTTGAAACCAGAGAAAGAAGTGAAATACTGACTGTGATTGGAGCAGAAACTGTCTCATCTTTAGAGGACAAGGAGCTGAAATCCAACAAAGCTATTTGGTGACAGCCTTATGAATGCTATCCACTCCATTATTTATGTTTTTAAACTTTAAAAATAATGGAGTAATACTAAGAGAGCTCTGTTAAACTTCATTAACACTTAAAAACACTTTCCTGAAATAAAAATAAAATCTGAAATCCTTTACTTTGCTCAACTCTAGATAGCCGAATAAAAAAATTAAATCTAGCCACTGTCCTATTTAACACAAAGACATAAACTTTTGTTAACTTAAAAAAAGAACGTCCAATAATAATAAAATTAGGTTGCAATGTATTTTTGAATATTCTTCTTCTGAACAGTCAGGAATCAAAGCAACGTTTTAAGGACATGTTGTTTTTGTTTTTCTGTATGTTTAATGCAAACAAAGACCGAAAACTACAGTAAAATACATGAGATAAGGAATAATCAACAAGTCATATCAAAACAGAGAGAAAACATGCTAATATTAGCATTGGCTTCAGCTAACTGTATTTTTATTCAATGTAATGTAATAAAATGTAGTGAGCAGGATGTGTTTATAGATCACTGTACCTGTAAACAACTGGTCCAGTTTTTTGTTTTTTTTTTGTTTTATTAGGACCAAAGTTTGGGCTAATTTCTTACCTTTAAAATTAGCAAAATAAATCCTGACAAGGAAAATACTAGTTTTTCTAGTTACTTAAAATGATATTGTTTCATTTTCTTCAGTTTAATTGTACTTTACAAGTGATTGCAGGAAAACACTGAGGTTGAACAAGTCTACAATTGATTATATTGTCTTTCTTGGGTGACTAATTTTGTTTCTTTATTATATGATGAATAATAAGATGTTGTCAATCAGTGTTGAGAGACTGATGGGTTTCTGTTTGTAATTTCAAATGAAATCAGAAGTTGTATTTAGCGTTAATGTCTTGTTATGCTGAAGCTGCTGTTTGTCTGTGTTCTCAGCTACGCTGTTCCCTCACACTGCTTGGGTACCTGCGTGAGGCCCATGAATTTGTTGATGTTCTCAGACAGGAAGATCATGTCTCCATCTGATGTTACCACGGTGACAAAGCCCTCCAGAGATTTCAGGTACAGGTTGTCCATGAGTCCATCCTCGGCTTGGTTACAGCTGCCGCAGCCTGGGAGCAGAGGAGATTATTTCTGTCACTATCAGTGGAAATCTTTTCCCAAGGGCTTTTTTCCCCCTTTGATACAAATAAAACTCCTTCAGACTTCAGTACAATATTTGCAAACTGTCCAAGCCTTTATAACAGCTGCCAAACTACAACTCACACATTATGCAATTATGTTCAAATATGCTTAGTGTAGTATGCAAACATTTACACAGAGAGACTCCGGTCTGTCCACGAGGTCTCATTTCAGAGATAATTGATATAAAAACACTTCTAGCACAGTTCAGAGGGGACTCTATGTGTGTGTGTGTGTGTGTGTGAGGATGTGTGTATGTGTCTGGACAGCAGCTTCAAACTGAACAAAGCCCAGTAGTTGGTTGGGGCGGAGGGTGGGAAGTTTGCAGTTCCTCTTCTGTGCTTCCCTGAGATAAGAGGAGAGCCGTTCTCAATACTCCCGTAGAGGCCTGAGTATCGAGTTTGGACCCAGGCCCGCTCAGTGCAAACTCCCACAGGGGTCCCGGGGCTTTCTCATGGGGCCGCAGAGCCCAGAGCAGTTCTCTAGGACCCTGATCTGAAGAAAAAGTGCCACCTTTGGCCTACATACTGAACTTAGCCATGGTCACAATTCATTTGGACCAAGTTGCACTTTCCTCCCCTCTGTTGTTCCTCAGTTGTGTAACCGACCTCGTTTGAAAATAATTGGGTGTCCGACACGCAGCTGCAGGACTGACAAATTCCCTCCTATCTTGACATTTGAACCGCTGCCTTATACAGAATACAGCAGCAGGATAGATTTTCTGTCTCAAACTGCAAAAAGATGCAGAATTTGACTCAAACAGCAAGAAACATGAAAGGAAGGAGGGTGTGTAACTCCCAACAAAAACTGACGGAAACCTTGATAACATCATCTGCGCTCTGATGTGGGCTTAGGGGACCCAGGCTCATATTGGATGTTTTCTTTGAAGGATTTCATATCAAAGGAAAATAAATATAAGAAAATACCTTCTTAAAGAAAAGTAGATTTGAAAAATTTAAAAGAGGGAAGACAAATAAATAAAAGCAAATATTGAATGTAAAAAGTTTTTGATTTAAAAAAACATACATCTTCTTTAAACTTTAGTGTATTCATTGAGATATTAAGAGTAATACTTTTCCACCTAGACATAAATAAACAATGTGGTAAAAGGATGAAAGTCAAAAAATAAAAGGAAACAAACACTGTTGTCTGGATACTTTTAAACATTCATAATTTAATAATAATTTATCTTTGTCGTTCAGTTTTCCTTCTTTAAAACCAAATAATGAGCAAGTTAAAATTAGACTATTGCTCATTTTCACTGAAACCTTGGTTTCAATTTGTTATCAATTAAACTAATTAAATAAAAAAACAGAAACTGGTTTCTAAAGCAGCAAAGAGGCTGAGAGCAACAGGAAGGAATATTTCTTTGACAGAAATCTGCGATCTACGTGTGACGACTGTCTCCAACGTCTTACATCTAACATGATTTATAAAAGAGGTTTCAATTGTTGGACGATCGAATGAAACCATCCCACAAATTCTTGAGCTACATTTCGAAAACACTGTATGGCTGTGAAAAAAGCCTAAAACATGACCACACCCATAGGGAAACATGGGGGTGGCGGCGTCATGCTGTGGGGTTGCTTTACTTAAGGCAGAAATTAGACTTTTTCCAATCTAGATTGAATAATTACACAGTTCTAAAGAATATATCCAGCACCTTCTGGGATCTGTTTGAGATCTAAAGATGAAGAGGATTTTTTCTAGTTTACACAAAGTTAAAGGACAAATACAAATCAACCAATCTAGAACTATAATCAATAGATCATCTGTAAGCTACCTTTAAAGTCTACAGGTAGCAGTTTTAAAAACCTCTACAGTGTAGAGTATACTCAAACTGGTGCTGAGTAATGTTCATTACTTCCTCCCCAGAAGAATCACATTTAAAATCATTAATCTAAGGATATCATTGCTGCTCTAATCAGGTTTTTATAGTTTAAGTAATAATTTCCATTTATCAATAAACAAATGTGGTTGTTTTTCAGTGCATGTTCCGACTTCAAACAGGGTAGGCATCAAAGTAAAGAGTGAATAAAAGTTTGTAAATGATTAAATAAGATCATCACAAAACCTGTTAGAAAAATATTTCATCTAAGAGCTTCATCTCCTAGTGAGCTCATCTTAAGTAACCCGAGGTGTTTTTTCACAGCAGCTCGCTATCACTGCCTTTGCATGTGCTGCTCGTGCATGGGCGTGCACGCCAGCAGGGGATGGCGCCACGGCGGTCGGCTGTTATGGCTGGTGGGGATAATGCCAGCACCAGCCGAACGATGGGCAGAGCTCTCTGCTTCCTCTCTGGTATCTCCCCACTGCATCACGGAGCAATCAGAGCGTTGTGATAACGTTATCTGCCGCTGCATCGCATGGATCTCCCTGTTCTCTCCTGCCCTCTAACCGGCTTCTTTCCTCCTGCTCACTTTCTATCCGTCCTCCTACATCTCTTCTTCTGCACCCGTCTTCACAGAATTCCGTGTTTAATGCGGTGATCAAACTTGAATTTCAGGAAAGGTTTGGCTTAATTTAAACAACATTAAGTTTCAGGCCCTGATGTTTGGGTGCTAGAGGATGCTTCAAAAGCAGATATCTTTAAATCTTGGGAAACAAAACAGAAACCACCATTAAAACCATTTCCCCCCTTTCTGAGCTAATTTAAAACAAGTTTCCTACACATTTCTGTGGGCTGATGTTAATTCAACAAAAAAAAAATTTATGCTGTAGATTCAAAAAGTTTTTTAAAATTGAATTTGTGGTTTATTTTATTTTATGTTTTTCCAAATTTCCATTTACTATCAAGATCTTTGATGACAATAATAATGGAGCAAAACTCACTCCATAAAAAACCTGTTGATTTGAGTCCTTATTAACAAATCTAAATCTGTATGGGCTGCATAAAAGCCAAACGGTGGGGTGGGGGAATTGGAGGGGTGGCTGTTGGTGGGGGGCTGTGTTTTAGATCTCAGGTGTAAAAAACCTCACAAATAAATATAATATCTTTTATAATGTTGCAAGATTTTCAAACACAAACATAAATGACATTGATAAATGAGATGAACTTAGAGAGGGATTATATGGCCAAAATTTATATCTAAGCAATATAATTCTGCTATCAATATTAACAAAATAAAAGCCTTAGAAAGAACAGATGTCTGTACAAACTTTGGCTTGTTTTTAAAACTCCACCAATATACCATCAATCTATAAAATACTTACAAATAAAACTGCATTAAACCCAGGATGTCAGTAAGAACTGTTGTTATTATAGACTGATATGTATATTTAGATATTGAATTTTTAATTTTGCCATTACTAGATAAAATTGTATGGCATTACATATTGATAATGAATTATTGCTTCACTCTAATTTAACTATATTTGAACAGTCAAACGAAACTTTAAAAATAACGTAACATTATAGCAGACTCTTTTGGGGAAAAATACCACTCATAAAAACAATAAAGGCACTATAGATTAATCTATGTGCACATTTATTTGATTGTTTGTATGTCTTGAATTGTACCATTATTTATAAAATAAAAGCCTTGTAAATGCCAAATGAGTCCCATTCAGCAGCTTTAGGACGACGTAAAGGATTTCTTTGATTAATGAAGGTGATCAAACCTGAAGCAGGGGTAAGTGTTTGTTCATGAAATAGAAACAGAACATCAAAAGATCCATATGAGCAGAATGATGGCAGATTAAAATGGCGGGCTAGATTAATGGGTAACATTAAGCTCTTGTTTAAATCAAAATGATTTCCTGTTGGTCTGACATGTTTGGTTTTTAGAATTGTTGAGCTGGAAGTTATTGTTCAGCGAAACAAGAGCGGCGTCATTAAGTACAGGAAGCCCCTGGTCTATAAAAAAAGCATGTGAATTATATAATAAATATAACATCTGTCTGTGGAGCATTCAGCTTTTGTATTGGTGGTAATTTTTCAACCCTGAGCACCAATTCAGATAATTCTTCTGTATGTTAACTGAGATTTAATGACCAACACAAGCTGGTGCATAATCAAAAATGGGAAACAAAGGATAGGAGAACTGATATTTATAGATGCACCAAACACTAACAGGACGTCTGGGTTTCCCTGAACATCGCATCATCCATCCTCCAATCAGCCCGGACCCTACTAAGGAAAAGCATCCCCACATAATGATGCCGCCACCACCATGTTCCATTCTCCTGTGGATTCAGGGTGAAGAATATTGCAAAACATGTATGTTATATGTATGTTTAAGGTGAATAAGATCAGGCAAAAATATTAAAGAAACAAATACTTTTTGAAGGAACATTTAAGACTTTACACTTTAGAATCTGAAGGACAAAAGTTACTCTTTGGTGTTTTTTTAATTATGTAAACCTAAATAGTCTAAATATCTTTTTATAACTATTATAAAATCTAACAACCTTTCCCTGTTTAATTATGTTAGAAAGGACTTTCCCTCCATGGCTGACGGAGCACTAAAATGCATCCTACTGGTGTAAGTTTGCCTTTTCTCCCTTTAAAAGCTTCTCCAATCAAAACCTAGAGACAATCATCTGGCACTAACTGACATTAAGGCAGCCCTCCCTCTGCACAGACACCGCAGACATGTTTGATTTGATGTTTGGATGAAAAGTTTGTTGTTTTTTTTCAGTGGAAAAATAAACATAACATGATAGTTACACTTAAAAATCCCACTTTTTACTTTAAATGAACAACCTGGGTCTTTTATTTCCTCCATTCTTTGCTTTGGGCTGAATGAGCAAAGAAAATGTTGTTTTTTGTTGTTTTTAATGTTTGGACATTGACCACTGATGTTACAGATGTTTAACTGAGTTTCCCTTGGATCTAATTTCAGGAGGCCAAAGAAGAAGAACAATAAATCTGCTGCTTTTTTTTTTTTATTTCCTCAGGTTCTAATTTTCCTGAGATAAAGAGAGAAGAAGAAGGCGGAGAGAAAAATAAGTCCCACGGCCCAACACTCCCACCCACACTGGATGTAACAGAACCTCTATTTGCATTTTTTCCCTTTGTGAAGCTCCCACCTTCTTGTGTCTCTGCGTGTGTGTTCATGGTTGTGGCGAGCAGTTTGCGTGTGCGCAGGAAGCTGATGGCCAGCCTCATGATGGAGGCCTTGTCCAGGTGAGCGCTGACGCTGTGTGGTAAGGGCAGCTGGTGGGCCAGCTCGTAGAACACCTCCGTCTCCTTGCTCCTTCTGCAGCGAGCCGCATCGCGGGACTTTTCCTTACGCCGCTCTGAGCTGCTCCTTCACCACAGAAAAAAAACAGAAACAGAAAACAATCATCAATCTGCCACCCATGAGAGTTAGCTTCAGACTTTCCTAACGCTTCATTCATCAAGCTGCTTCTTATCGATGGTTATACTCTCCTGATTATATTGGATCATTTACCAATAGTTGGGCCTAAATGGGCTCGTTGTTTTGGGGTATTTCCATTTCCTAAATGCTCTCTGCTGCAGGCAAAAATCACCATCTATAAATCCCCACGCGATTCAACAGGCATTAAATGCAACACAGAATACAGCCTTCAATAAGCTGAGGTACATACTTGTACTTTACTGTATTAATTTTTACTAAAGTATTATTCTTGTGAGAGCATCCTACTTTTACTTGAATGAATGTTCTGGTTACTCCACCCAGAGCATAGATCAGTAGAAAAAACTGAAAACTATGTAAACATTAGTTATTTTTATTTATATGATCAAATAAATGATCATTTTCTTCCTTCCATCCAGGGTGACAGGATGTCTCTATTTTTGCAGGACGATGCTGCATTTTCCCTTGTGTCCTGCCATCCCCCAAATCCAAGCAATGTTCACATTTGACTGGATCAAATTAGAAAAAACAGTCAAGTATATTTGCAGACACTTTTCCTAAATGCAAAGAAAGCAGAAATGCAGCCATTGTCTCAGAGATGCACCAGTACCCCACGGCATCAGCAAGCTGCACAGCTTGCTCTACAACCTCAAGTAAAGGATTTTAAAACAAAATGATAAACTTATTTTGAAGCAAATTAAAACAGAGCCACAGCAAAGACAGTGGAACAGATTATAATTCTGAGCTCAGCAATTCTTTTTAATTAAGTTATTTTTCAGTTGAGGGAAGCATGGTGTAAAAGAAATCCACAGATGAAAAAGCCTGATCAGTCCTTCATAAGCATAGTTTTTAGATCCAGCCATCCCGTTTCCATCATTGGTTGAAATCAGAACAAGATTCAAAACACAACAAAAAAGGCCTGCTTAGAGAGAACACACACATTTCACATCGATAAGAAGATGAGAATGTAATATGAATATATAAAAGATATGTATTTGTTTCTAGTAAGTTTATACATACATGTCACTTGTAGATGTTTAATCTGGTATAATGTCGAAAATGAAGAAATGATAAAGAAATTGAACAAGTTGCCTTTTTAAAAGGATGAATCTAAAATCCTGAAGTTGTTACACTCCTGACCAGTGGGTGGCAGTAAAGCAGCTAAAAGTTGTTCTACCAATAAAAACACAACGCCCACCCTAACCGCTATATAGGCACAGTGTATAGAGCTTATACACCATTCTATATCAGTGTCCGAATGTCTAGTGGATGAGAAAGTGGACTAAACATTTCCCACAATGCATCTTAAAAAGTAGTGTACGCTGTCATTGCCCGATCCGTCCCGTAAGCACAACCCGGACCATCAGCTCATTCGCGCAACCAGATATACATCCACCAAAATCTTTTCTGTTCTATCACTGGTCTGATCTGTAAAGGAAATGGGATCCTATGAAGCAAACTAAAATTTAGTCTTTTTGAGTTTAATGTTTTCCTTTCCTGTTAAAATTATGCTATATGTTGCGTAATCTACAGAAAGAAACAAGTGAAATGCAGATAAACATGGTTTAATCTTATTTTGCCGGACTGCTCTGAGAAAAAGTCAGAAAACATTTATAAAGATGTGTAATAGCATTCTTTAGTGATAGAAATAAGTCATTTTAATAGCATAATTACATCATTTATGGAAACCCGGATGAGCAAATGAGCCGATGGTACGGATGGTGCTTCCAGGACGGATCGGGTAACGACATACATCCATGGTCACTAGACAAGCAGACATATCCCAGAATGCTTTGGAAGCCAGGGTTAGGCTCTCATGTGATTTGTTTTGGATGCGAGAGAGAACCGTGTGGAGAGTCAAAGTCAGATGTTCAACGGGGAGTGAAAAGTAGTGATCATCTGTCCAAACAGCCAGTGAACTGAGTGCACTATAAAGCTCACTGTATAGTCCCTGCTCTATATAGTGAGGGAGGGGTTCGGGGTTATGGGAGACATTAAAAAAGCCATGGATTGGAAGTTATACCTTTGCTGAAATGTTGTTTTTGACACATGCAGATTATAACCTGAGATTAATGGTTCCGTTTTCCTCTTCTTCTCATTTGAAGGAGGTTGAGAGATACCTTAACGGCTCATTACTGCCACCCACTGGTCAAAAGCTGTAGTTTTTTTTAGTCTTGCAAAGCTCTTACTTTTATTCACGATTTTCTAAGTTATCACAGTTGAAACTTTAATTTCCATCAGTTTACAACAAGGAACAAAAACAAGTGATTTACATGTACGCGCTCAGACATCGCACACTCATCAAGCAACGTTTTTTTCTGTTTTATCTGTTGAAGCTGCCTTATAGTCGACAGCAACGTCAAATCGGCCCTAACCATTTGTTCTAGGAGATCACCCTGACATGCACGACTACTCCTACCGCCTTTCAGTTTTCCTGTCAAATTTTTGTCAGTGGTTTTGCTTCAGTTATCTCCTGATCCCAGCAAGAGGAAGAAGCTCCTTTGAGCGGTTCTGCAGGTTTTAGAGGGACAGAATAGTTTCATGCATCAGGGAAAGACAATGAAAGCACCAGATATAGACTGTAAGCGTTTTATCTTTTGACTTGTCATTGTTTCATTACGTCAAAGCCATTGAACTGATTGATGAGTGTCATCAACTGATGATGAACTGAAGGTCAAATTACACAAGACAGTAACTTAAATGAAAGAAAGCAAACGTCACTGCTGTTGCTGGACGGATCTGTTTTCTGTCACTGTTTGTTTGTTTGTGTTGATTGTGATTGAGAAACACATGTTAGGGAGAAATCTGAGAAAGGAGGGGAGGGATACGTGTTTGGAGTCCATCAACCAACGTACCGAGCTCATGTTCCTGTTCAGGGGAAATTAGCTGAAACAGATTGGTTTTTAAAAGCGGACTACCACTTAAAGACGCAGCCAGGTGATTATTTCCATTTTCCTGCTTTACTCAGTCTAGCTCAAAGACGTCATAAGGTTAAAAATATGCGTGTGAATACTGTTTTAACTCCAGCAAACATGGTTTGTGTCAAATAACACCAGTTAGCTTATCTTTTTGTCATTTTCAACAGATTTATCCAGCTTATGTTAAAAGTCAAACAGATAGTCCAGAGGTCTCCCATCTGAGTCAGCAGCACCAAACCCCCCCACCCCCTTATCATACTAGCAGATATATAGAATCTGATTTCTGAAATATTTAGGTTCATATTTCAACATCTTGGCTCCTTTTATGCAGTCTATAGTGTATTCATGAGGAAAAAGGCCTGAGCGCCGGAGCAAAGGGTGGAAGAATGAGGGCTCATAACCGATGACGTCACCCTGATGGGTTCACCCACCAAGACAAGCAGCGACCTGCGGGGAAGCTGCAGAACACTTATGTAAAAAGGAGCAGTTACCAACAGGACATGTAGGAACGGACAGTGAAGCTCCTGACATGTTAGTCTGCTCACCTCAAGCACAGGTTATCAGATGCTCTGCGATGAGCTTCTTCTATTGTTCACTCAAAAGCCTGAAGAAATATTACAGTGTTTCATCACTGTGCATAAGGTAGTAAACAAGACAACAAAAACACTGTTGAAAGAAAGAAAACATCATTTTATTTGTTGGGTTTAAATCTGTTATAATGGGAGGCCAGAAGAAGCAGCAGTGTCAACGGATCTTTAACTGTACTGAGTTTAAAACAGAAAAAGCAACTCCTTAAAAGCAAACGTATCGACTCTGATAAACATTAAATCATTTCTACAACATTTAGCCGCTGTAAAGCAACGTTTTAATGACGTCTTTATGTTTTTGTCTTGAACCGAGAACATTGTTGGACAGACAGGGGGTTACTTTAATGCTCTCTATTAAATTAACATTGATTCTTTTTTATATTTGTGTTATAATTACTGAATATCAAACATACATTTACAGCATGTACATCTATGGTGCATTCAGTGGAAAGCTGCATAGGAAAAAGCAAAGAGCTAAAATATGTCAGATAAAATGTTAATGTTGACTTTGGTGGATGAATGAATGAATAAGTTATATTGTTATAGTTACATTGAATTAAGTTTCATTATTTTCCTGTATTACAACCTTCCCAGAAGTACAATCCATGTCGAACTTCTGACTGTCCGCTCTTTGCTTTTGTTGTTGAGGCGTATACATATATTTTTATTTCCCATGTATATATATATATACTGCGATGGACTGTCGACCTGTCCAGGGAGGACCCCGCCTCTCACCCATAGACAGCTGGAGATAGGCACCAGCACCCCTCACCACCCCGCTTGGGATTAAGCATGTCCGAAAATGGATATATATATATATATATATATATATACATAGGTTGCAGGTACCCGATTCGATCCCCAGACTGCCACTCTGGGTCCTTGAGCAAGACCCTTACCCCCACACTGCTCCCCAAGGGGGATGGCTAAATGCACAGAGGGAATTTCTCCACTGTGGGACAATAAAGGGATTTACATTACTTATCAACCACAGGTCAGGAAAATGTCCCTCAAAACAAAACTTTACTGAATATAATTTGAAGAAGCTTAAACTATCCCTTTAGTTCAATAATTGTGTAACCATAAATAAATATTATAAATTGCTTTATAACTTTTGCATCAAACGCAATAAAAATGACAGGAATGTATATCAATATTGACATTAAAACAGAAGCCTCTAAAAATGAAATTTTAAAAATCCTGAAATCTCCACTGATTTCTACCAGTTTAAATACCGCATTTAAAAGACAAATGTGTTGTGTTTAAACACAAACCGAAAAAACAGCTCCGGGTAAGAAACATTTCACTGAACAAAGAGGTTTTTAAACTCTGATGTGTCTGCAGGCTCTCTGGCAAAGATAACCTGAACAAAGCACAGCAGAAGAGCTGCAGCCCTGCTGAACTCCACTATCAAAGCCATCACATA